ATCGTTGGTTAGTGTCACAACAAAATGCTGACGTGGACAAGGCCAATGTATCGACGCAATCATTGGCTTCGTTGCTAATTGAAACTTTATTGGTACCTATAATTGTCGATCGCGATTTATAACGTTATTGTTTTCTGAAAAGAAGGTCCCGAAAAATGCCACTTTTCAATTTCATTACAATAGAGTTGACTATTGTTCCGATCGGTTTCCTGATTTCTAAACCGTTCGTTACGTCACTGGTTGTTGAACTTAACTTTGCTTTGTAGGTCAGGGGATTTTTTCTTTTTCTTGTAAATACTTTTTGTATGAAAATATTGTTTTTTAACCCTTCACAAATTGTGTTTAAGGAAGCTAACCATCACTAAACATAGATAACAAAGACCTTGCAGATGTGTTTACGCAAGCATGGTTCTCTCGCGATATACAATTTCGATTTTATCTCTTTATTGTAAAATGTTGTCCGAGAAAGAATCTTTGTGAAATGACAATTTTCTTGGTGGGATGATATTGAGCTTGGAATTTCAGTGGAGGGCGAGCTTTCAGGAAGGTCGTCGACCTCGAAGCTTGGCCCAGTCATGGAACGCCTGTAACCTGAGTATTGATTAAAAGCCCGCCACTGCCATTGCCAAGGACGTAGCAGGAATACATTCAAATTTTGAGTAACGCTCCAGCTATTTTTTAGACGTTTTATTGATTACAATACATTTTTTTTGTTATTATAAGAAATTTGTTATTAAATTATTCATTTAGATATATTTTTTTTGGAATTTTGAATTTTAATTTGATTAGATCAAATTAATTTATTGATTTAATTAATTAATAATGTAATCAATTTCATGATGGTGATGTCGAAAAGATAAACTAAAAATTTGGCCAGAAGAACCGGGCGCCGTTGAGCATCAAGTAGTGATCTATATTTACGATACGGGGGCGTGCGTGTAGTATCCAGGCAACGTGGGGTCATCGACACCGCGTTCCCGCTCTCCTGCGGGCGTATCGGGTCATACTGCCATGTGCGAATGCCTGCTACTCCTTTTTTTGTTCTTGCCTGGCTCGGGAAAGCAGTCGTTCTTCCGCATGCCTTTACGTCTCACCACTACTCCTCCTTACATTAACAATGACACAACACCTAAAAAATTAATCCCAAATTTTTTTATTGCCGCATAAATAAAAATTATTAATGTTAACTTGTAATAAAATCGTTAATTGAAACAATATGATATTCGACTGGGAAAAGGTCAAGGTCACCTTGCCATCTCCGCATTAACAACGTGGTGTGGTGGACGTCATCATGGGAGAATATTATCATTGCTTCTTGGCTCGGTTTCGCATAGTTGCATTTTTAGTAGTTGCCCATTACCAAAGAATAAACGTTTTTGCGTCAGCCATGAAGCGAGAATATTGTTACTCTCTGCAATGTCACAACAACAACTTTTGCCATGCCGAGTTTGACCTGCGCATGGCCGTGAACGGGCTTCGGCCGTATTGCCAAAGAGTAGAAAGCGGCTGTTTATTCTGGATAATGAACTTGTAAAAAGCGAAGCTCGTTGACGAAATTTCTACTCTGGCCCACAGCTGCTATTGAGACTATACTCGAAAACTCGTTTTCGGAGATCTTCTAGCAATTTCGAAATTAACAATTTTTTTACTAACCTTGGTCTATTTCCACCTTAGCAAAAAGATGGAAACTAACAGTTTTAATTTGATACATAAAAATGATAAAAACCACAAAGTTATGGGTGAAATGTTGAAATTATATCTTAATGGTATAATTAAGAAAAAGAAATACAACAAGTAAAACTGTTACGTTTTACTTCGAATCGAAAATTTTCCAGCATGTACTTTATTAAATAATTACGCAACACATCGTTATATAAAACTTGAAATCGGTTATTTTGCGTTATTTTTCCACCGATTAGAATTTAGATTTACGTAATAGACAAATTTCACTTAATTGCATTCGAACCACACTCGTAAACTTATTTTCTTTATTAAAACATTTGAAACAATTTTTACTTTCAAAAAAGTACCTGAAACTGTTACTAAATTTGCCAAAACGAAAAGGAAGCTGCACCGTTAGAAGGCATGCTCTAGTAAAAATAAACAATCGTCACATGGAAATGGGTCAACAAACTCTATACGAACAGGAAGTGAATATGGGTCATCGATATGTGTATGCATAGAAGTCATAGGAGATTAGAAAATATTTATACCGATTGACATTTTTGTAGAAATAGTATTCATTTTGATAAAGATTGAATTTCGAATTACCAGTTAGTATTTACGACTTCTCAAACATTATTTCGAATGGTGTAATAATAATTTATTATTAAGGTTAACAGTTTTTAATGATTTGCATTATTTATTTTAAATTTAAAAAAAAGTTTTTGGTAAAGTTATCATTTTTAGGAGTTATTTTTATTGATTAAGAATACTGGCAAAAGTTTTTGCAGAAGAAAAATAGTTAATACTAACAATGAATGTATATAATACTGATAAAGAACGCGAGCAGGCATGTTTTTTGAACATAGGACCAGCTATTACTAAAGAACTAATAAATTTTTGCAAAATGTCATAGACACTGGAATTGACAAAGAGTTTCTGCAGAAAGAGTCTAACACAGTTATGTATCGCTTTTTCCTTAAGCGTCTGATGGCCGTACTTAGAATTACAACACGGTAGAAGTACAATATCTCTGGCTGAATTAAAATATCAAGTGCAGAAGAAAAACCTTAGGTGCAGAAACAATATCATGATCATTTACAATATAAAATATCATACGCAGAGTTAGATATCATCATTTGCAGAAAATTTCATGTGCAAAAGCAAAATATTATGGGCAAAAGTATCAAGGATGATAGTAAAATCTTAGGTACAAAATCAAATTCTCTTGGTCATAAATAAAATCATGAGTAGGTATAGAAGAAAATATTATGGTTGGAAGCAAACTATTACAGGCAGATTTTCCAGGAGATTTTCTGATTTTCCAGGAATTTTAGAGTATTTGGAATTAGATTAGTTGTGAAATTCAATAATTCAGTAAAGATTCAGTAAAGTTTGAGAATCTTTTCAAACAAATGTAAACTTCCATATACTTCACGTAAATTGCAAAAATTCTGATTGTCAAGCATAATCGGATCAATGTCATCCTGAAGTGCAAAAATTAAATGTTTAGATTATTTAGAATATTTTATTATTCTTCTAGTTGAGTTAATTTTTACGTAAACATTCTTTTTTGTTTTGCTATGTTTGAAACAGCTTAAACCTATATTTACAACAACAATGGTTAAAAATAGTCCTGTATTCATGCATTTACGCATTCTAGAAATATTAATGTAACTGTAACTATACAAAAAATTTTGAACTTTTTCTCAAAAATTCTCTTACACTATTTCCATCTCTGTTTTACTGATACTGGTTTAATGTGATTTATTTATTATTGTGTATTTTTTGAAATGTGCTACTAAATAAGAAAAAAAAACGTAGAAAACCATCGCAGCCATGACCCGGATGGCGTATACTGAACCTATGCGCCTGCCGTTGGTGGATTTTTGCGGCGCATTCCGCGTCATTTTCGCGGCATTATGACGGCGGCCTTTTCGAAGTTGCCTCGCCAAGGGTACCCCGTCGACCAGTTGCCGCGGCTATGAAACTATTCTATTGTTTATCTATCGACGCTACTTTTACGTTTTACGATTATTACATCCGACAGAGAAACAACAACGAATCAGCTCGGATTATTATACGATCAAACACTTTATTATAATTGATTTACTAATTATAATTATTTATCGTTCTTAATCTTCGTATTGTTGTTTTGTAACTTTTTTATCTAATTGTTCGATGTAATTACTTCAAAACCAATGACTTTTACTGCATTATTGTTTTCTGAATCACTTTACGACAATTTAGGTTAACCCAATATCTGAGATGTCAATAAATCTATTGGCATGTCTTATGATAGGAATGTTAAACTAGAATAGTCAGTCATGCATTCTTTGACATCAGATATTTGTTAAATTGATATTAATTATATAGTTTCAACATCATGTAACGTCACTATAATGTGTTTTGTGTTGATATGGTATTAAATGTAGCGCCTCGGCCGCAAGCGACCTCGGCTTGATTAAATAACCAATCTAGTTTGATACCAATCTTGTGTTGATGTGGTATTAATTGTAACACCTCGGCTTCATTGAGTGACATTTTAATTAATTTAGCACAGGCGATGCATTTTTTGACATTAGTCTTGTGTTGATGTGGTATTAAATGTAGCGTCTCAACTGTAAGTGACATCGTCATTTGGGTTTATTTAGCTGAGATCGCTTGCGACCGAGTTTTTGACATGAGTTTTGTGTTGTTTTTCTAATGCTATCAATAATTTGTAGCTACAAATTTTTGTTCCTACACTTTTACTAATTCCTGCTACTATGGCGGAAAAATTGAAATCTGACAATCTTTCCTGTCAGTTGAATGGAACAACTCCTGACAAGATGACTGAGGATTTAGACTAAACTGCAAAGTTCAAAAATGATGTAAGGTGGTGGGAGTTTATTATAAAATATGTATATATATTTTAGATATATCTTTAATAATGAATGATTTTTTTGATACAAACAAATTGTGTTTTATCGATAACAAAATGGCGCCTGCCACTATTAGGCCTATCTCCACTTGGCTCCTTATCTCTCGTGCCTTCGTAATTATAACGACTCACTCAAAATATCACGTGACGTTATTTTCTGAACGAAAATAACTCTTAACCGAAAAGTCATAATTACTATTAAACTTATCGATATCATAAATCTTTTTGCATTCTCTTTTTTTGTGATTATCAATTTCTGATTTATAGTGATAATAAATGTGTTTGAGTTTGGGTTTGGGAAATTTGTGTTTTTGGGTGGCTTCGCCATCACGGAAAAGATCTCGAAAGTTGGTTTATAGAGGGGGGCCCCACACTTGGGTATTCGCCCCACTCCATTCTACATTTGCGGAGAGTCACTACTGGCTCGTCAAAGAAATACAATGTGCCTGCGATAGTTTGTGGCCTATATTCGCGCCCGTCTGAAACGTTCTCATCGCGTATAGCTGTTACTGTAGTACAACAAGAACCGTTACGCCGTGAAGTTGGCCCCGGTACAAACAACGCGACGACAACGACGTTCGCGATTAAATTAAAAACTACTTTTGCCACAACAGTTTAGAGTTAAGTTATAATCATTTTTTGTATTAAAAACGTTTAATGTTTACATCGGTGAATTCGATCACTTCATTAATGAGGAAGAAACGAAGGAAATCTTGATTTAATTCATCTCAGTCAAGAAATGGATAACCACGTTTCAGTGCTTTTAGTTCTTCTTTCGTTTATATCGCGCGTGGTTTTGCTCCTTTAAAGGAACCTTAATGACGGATGGATGGGTCGAAATGTCATCCTTAGGTATTTATTTCAATTTTAATATATTACATTTCTTTGATCGCGCCCACCACTGTAATATTTATGTGGAATGGGAAACGATTTGAGATGTCGTTAGCAGATGGCGCGCAATTTTTCTGGGAACTCGAACCAACGTTGCGCACGGTGATGCACTTCAGGGAAGTTACGTCACCAGTCTGAGATGTTTGCTTCCGGGTTTCAATACTTCCGCGATAAACTTCATCACAACAATCAACTCTGCTTTTTTGTTTAATTTATTTTCATTGTTAACAGTTTTTAACATATCTTTACAACTAGTCATCTTCTCTGTAATAAGTGAATCATTATTGTTAGTTTCAAGAGACTTCATTAACTTGAAAAATGATAATGTATGTTGATAGATTAAAAAGTAACCGAGATAGGATTACTTCCTGTTATTAATTTCCTTCTTGGCTAATATATTAGATAAAGTATTTACATTATTATGCAATCGAATTAATAAACACCCTATATATTAATACATAATATATTTGAATTAAGTTAGATCTTACAATTAGTTCAACTATGTTTGTATGATTTAATCGAATTTTTTAATTTATATATATATAACACAAGTTTTTCACAATAACAAAATATAAAAGCCGGTTATAAATCGAAAAACGATTACACACGTAAGAAGCTTTTACGAAACAAACAATGTATCAGGACCACGAATGATTAACATTGAATAGGATCGCGTCCGTTTTATGAAACTATTCGATAGCTGAGCGATATTTCAAGTTTATAAATAAAAGTGCAATGCGAAGTCGGTTGCGTAACATTCTTTTTATTAAATCGCTGATAATCAGCAAATATTTTGTGTTCAAAATAGAATTTGGCGATTATTTTAAAAAGGAGTTAACCTAAAATAGATTAAAAAGCTTGGTTATTTTAGCGGCGATAATTGTATAAAAAAAATTTTACAAAAACGGCACAAGGCTGCGTACAAATAATTCAAGCTCGAGTCTACTCATCGTAAACGTCGCCGTAAGTAGTGGTTCTATTTTTAAACTTACGACGACGCATGGTCAATGTGCAATATACATTAACGCACAACTCCGTTTTTAATCTGTTATCAAACAATTGATAGAGAACGATTTTCCGAAAAACACGCTTTACTTTGGAATCGAAAATGAATTTCCCAGAAAGTTTCATTAAAAATTATAAAATGAAGAAAAATTAAAAACTTAAACGATATAATATTGTTACATTCAAGAGAAACTCGACGTAAATAAGCGGAATTCTTTCGCCGATCCTAAGTTCAAGGTTAAACGATAATCTATTCCGCTTTTCAGTGCGTAATATACGTTTACCGTTGGCCTTTTTTACAAAAAAAAATAATAAAAAAGTCTTTTATTAGAAACAGAAACACCTTACATCTTACATAGGTATAATCCTTCATTCTGAATAATGCCTAATGACGTCATCGAGACGGTAAAATGACGAGGTGTTGTCCGCGCAAGAAAGTGACTTTCACTTAAAGTAACGGAAGCGAAGAACAGTTACTTTTGCGAGCTCGTTCCGAAAGAAAAGCGGCAGCAGGGTCAAGGTGAAGTGACTCAAAAAATGTAAAAAAATTGCTTTCTTTCTTTATAACAATAAAAAAATGATAAAATTTAAAAAGGTGCGCTCTTATACGTGGATGTTAGCTCAACTGGCGGAATAAACAATCTGTTTTTGCTATTTATTGGGATAGTTATCAAAAAATAAACTGTATAGATATCAAATATGTTCTCACGTGACCTCAAAATGTGATAAAAACAGTGTTTATATCTACGTGGACAGTAACGGTGGTGTTTTCTTAATGAGTATTAACATAATTTCTGTGGATATTATAATTGTTTGGTGAGATTTTAACCTTAATAAATCGGTTATTAGTTATAATACAACATAATCTATTTTACCCAACTTCTAAATGATTTTTAGATAAATATGGGTTATATCTCAAAAATTATCAAAGTTGGATGGAAGTGTTTCATACCAAAATATTCTTTATTAACCAAATAATTCATTTTTAATCAATCGTTGTAACCATCGCAAAAATTAAATGTGTAATTTATTAAATATTAACGTTTTTGAAATGAAAATTGGTAATAACTCATAAATTAGAGGAAGTGGGAGAAAACTTTTGATACTAAAAATGTTCCTTTTTAATTGAAAAACCACTTTAAATAATATATTTTAGCCCATTTGTTTTTGTAGGTAACTTAGAGACTTTCAAAAGTGCTTAAATCCAAAAATATGAAAATTGAGGTATTTCAAACCAAAATGGGTTATATCTCAGAAATTATTAAAGTTGGATAGAAAAGTTTTACACAAAAAATGTTCTTCATTAACCGACAATTCATTTCTAATGAATCGTTTTAACCCTTTAATTATTTTTGGTAACGCAACCATCACAAAAATGAAATCTGTCAATATTAACGTTTTTGAAATGAAAATTGGTAATAACTCATAAATTAGAGGAAGTGGGAGAAAACTTTTGATACTGAAAATGTTCCTTTTTAATTGTAAAAGTACTTTAAATAATCTATTTTATCCCATTTGTTTTTGTAGGTAACTTAGAGATTTTCAAAAGTGCTTAAATCCAAAAATATGAAAATTGAGGTATTTCAAACCAAAATGGGTTATATCTTAGAAATTATTAATGTGGGATAAAAATGTTTGATACAGAAAATGTTCCTTATTAACTCAAAAATCAGTTCCAATAATTTATTTTATTCCATTTGTTGTTCTTAATAACAGAGCGAGTACCAAGGTTCATAGTTTGTTCTTCAAACATTAGCAACATTATATTTTAGTTTTAAAAATTCTTGCAAAGTTTGTTATTGAATAGCTAAATGTTGGCTAAATAAATCCAACGCATTAGTTATCTTAAAGCAACCCAACCCAATATGGAAAATGTTTGGTGAACATGCGTAAGCAGATGAAATCTTGAGAGTCTTGGAGATGTTGAAGTACTATTGAAAGCACTTAGCGCCAAAGTTACTTATTGAAAGCATCAAAAACTTGTATCAATTTCGAAACAATAAGAAACATTTTTAAGAATTCTTCGAGATTTCAGAGTATGTTCGAAAAATGAGATAATGTCTCATTATGTTTAAAAACTAATATCTCAAGAACTAAAACGTATTTTGAAAAGTCGCTTCTTTCGTTGGAAAGCTTATAATTTGAACTAAAGATACTAATAATTTCATGATGATTTATTGTGATTTTTTGAAAATGTAATATCTCGAAAAAAAAAAGATATTTTGAAAAACGCTGAGAATTTCATAATAATTTATTGAAATCCAGATTTAGGTCCATCTTTATTATCATCATACTGTAATTATTGTTATTTTGTGCTAAAATGTGGCTTATTAGAAAAGGTTAGAAACGATGAATGTGTAGATAATATTATTCGTGTAGATAATCGAGATGAATGATCAAGAAAATGTAAAAATAAGATTATTACTTCTTTCTTTCTTTAATACATTCTCATCTAATATAAGAAAAAATTACAAAGGTCGATAGTATAAAAACATTTTTTTTTCAATCTACTCTCTCACCATTATGCATATTAACGAGATGCATTAACATCGCGTCTCGATTCGACTTTAAATTTATTCTTTGTTTAACAGAGCGCATTGAGCATAGGTGTAATTAAACAAAATGACACAGCACCAACTCGTTTTAAAAATAAAACAACTGCCCGCGTACATTATGTAAGGATAAGGGAAAAACGCGTATTATTAATTTCTTTATAACTTTTTTTCTGGAGTTCTTTCGATATATCTTGGAGTTCTAGACTGTTTGCGCCAGGATATTTATAGCGGCGTCGCGAAACTGACCTTACGAAACTATGTGCTCGAACTAAACAAGCAAACTACGCCAACATTTTTATGAACTTAATAAAAATAATATTGAATCGAACTTTTTGTTATATTGTTTTAACTATCTTGGGTAATACTTAACTCGACAATGACGACGTCCTTATGCGTTTCTAAAGGTCACAAACGGAGGTCGACTTTATTTCCTCCTCGCTAGAAAATTAATTAAAAACTTTTAACAAAGATTCATCACAAAAACATTTAACTATACTTATTTAGTTTTTTTTTAGTTATAATTAATTGATATAAGATTTCACTTATTGCTTTGTTGAAATCTTTATCCTTGAGCTGTATGCACTTAACCTTACAACTGAATCCAATTTGAGGATGTCGACCACACTTCCTTATTGCAAACGATCTTACAAATCAAGGCGAGACGTATAAATATCGTTGCTTTAAATTTTCTATTTCTTAAATGGTAATAAACAGGATGTAAAGTGTAATAAAACAAGATCAATTGATTTAATATACATTATGTTTATTACTTAACCGCATTCTTTATTAATTTAAATAAAGTAAAAGATTTCATTTTTTACAAATAAAAAATTAAATTAATTACAATTTTTTTTTTACTTCTTTCTTTAACAAATGAGGTTTGTTGTTGAACGCAACGTCGAAGTCTCCCATCTTTTCAGACCGCAAATCAACTGTGGAAGCCACCGTATTACGCCATAGAGTGCGCTCCAAAGTTGAATAACGACGCCAATTATCGCAACAAATAAACAGAAACCGCAAGCTTCGTCTTTCCACGACGCGCGTTTTTCCTTATCCGCGTTAAGTTGCGCAATCTAGCGACGCGAATAGGAGGCGAGTACATTCACCCGTTACTTTCTCTATACCATGTTACGCAAGGAGGCACATCCAATTCGAAAATTACTATTGCGCTTTCTAAACCAGGGGGGAACCCCCTTCCCCATTTTCGCTAATGTCAAACTCGGTCTTTAACTCCATTTTTAACTTTTACGAGTTTGAAACATACTTCTTGATTTGGATTTAAAATAATTCTTGATATCTCCAACATTAAGATGTACTCGTTAGAAATTAATTTAATCGTATTTGAAAGTAAATTAAGATGATTAAGAAGAACTTTCGTACAATTCGAATAAACCAGGAAATAATTACTTACCATTGAAAAACAACCTAAATAACAGTCGTCGTCGTCGTAGTCTCTGTCTTAGGCGGTTATAGCGCAACTTTCCCCTTTTACGTAAGAAACTCACCTTCATTTCCGTGCCGGATAACAAATAAGACATCGTTTTGCACTCTAAAGATCAAAGTGTTAAAATTAACATGAAACGTAATTTAATTTTTTGATGTTTTAGGAATTATGACTCTGACGCGTACGCCGTGTGAGCTTGACAAAATGAGTCTGTTCCAAGACCTGAAGCTGAAACGCAGGAAGGTAGACTCACGCTGTAGCAGTGACGGTAAGGAATACCCGAAAATTTTTATTAGATGTAAGATACATCCGTTTCAATCCCCTTTTTTGAGATAGTAAGCATAGCTTTAGTAGCTATATTTGGCCAGTAGGCAACCTCTCGTCCTTCCTGACGATTTTCTTCTAGGCAAAAACTCTGTCTCGGCTTCCAGGCGAATCGGTCGCGGATACTAGCACATCATCACCCGACCTAATCAGTCCCGCCTCCCCGAAGATGTCCGAAGTGGTCCAGAATCCCCCGAGTCCAGATAGCACCCCGGGTCGTGGTATCAAATTGGAACCTCTCGGCCACGAACCACTAACAACTGGTTTGGAGGATTCCGGAGTCTTTGATGGCGGCGGAATCAGTATTCACCACCACCCGGAAACCAACTCCTCCTCAAATAGGAACACCTCCGTCATCAAACCCCTGCCCATCGTATCTAGGTCACATAGTCCTCCACCCGTCCTGAGGCCCCCTTCATCCGCGAGCCCAGTTTCCCAACCACCAAGGCCACACAGTTCACCAGGAAGACCGGCGAACGTGAGTCCAGTGATACGACATAGCCCCAGCCTGATAATGCACCCACCAACTTCACCACAACGCCAGCAACAAGGAAGCCCCGGATGTCATAGTGGAGGGGTTAGTTCGCCTCCTTTCGTTTCGAATATGAGAAGTTTGGGAGTGATTACCACCCAGAACACCGTGATACAAAATCAACTTTGGTTTCAAAGTCCGAGAATAAACGGGGTGAAACCTGAACTAATCGGGGGTAACTTCGGGGCTAACTTGCTTTCACCACATCGGACGTCAAATGTAAATATTAAAGGGGCACCGACTGTAATTATGGGGGAATCGGGTGGAGTACGAACGATGGTTTGGAAAAACGCGGAAGACCAAGAGAAAGAGTTACTTGCCACCGGACTACCTACAACGTCAGGGGGTCCAATGAACTGGAGTCCGGGACTTAGTTCCAACTCAACCGGATCAAACCCTGAGGAAAACGCAGCTCAAATGTTGCTCAATCTCGGTCAGGAGCGCCGACCATCGATACGATCTCCTGCTCCCAATGTACGATCTTCACCCCATCATAACCCCTCATCGATATCTTCGCCCATTTCTCATTTTACCAACGTTCCTCTTAACATGGAGAGGCTATGGGCTGGAGATTTAACGCAAATTCCGGGATCCGCCGGAAATAGCAGCAATTTAAATCTACCCTTAACGAACTTATCCTCGTCATCTTCTTCGAATCAACAAGCTTTAAATCTTTCCTCGCCCACATCATCATCTTTAGCCTCATCGTTAAGTTCATCTTTATCACCAACGCAGCAACATCCAAACAGCATGCTTTACGGAAGTGGGGGTGGAAGAACCGGGGGATTACTTCAAGATGTTGTACAACTACAACAACAACAACAACAACAAGACTGTCCGGAAGAGGAGGAACAACCAATGATCTGCATGATATGCGAAGATAAAGCGACCGGTCTTCATTACGGTATCATCACTTGTGAGGGGTGTAAAGGTTTTTTTAAAAGGACGGTGCAAAATCGGAGGGTGTATACTTGTGTTGCCGATGGAAACTGTGAAATTACGAAAGCCCAAAGAAATCGGTGTCAGTACTGCAGGTTTAAAAAATGCATCGAACAAGGGATGGTGCTTCAAGGTAAAAAAATTATCAATCAAAATAACGAATTTTAAAAAATCATTTTGTTTTAGCTGTTCGAGAAGATCGAATGCCGGGTGGAAGAAACAGCGGTGCTGTTTACAATTTGTACAAAGTAAAGTACAAGAAACACAAGAAAACCGCCGCGAAACAAACGGCGACGAAACCAGCCGATAAACCTCTTCAACTTTCACCACAAATGAAACAAGAGTCTCCAACCAGCATCCCATCTCACTTAGTGAACGGCACCATTTTAAAAACGGCGTTAACGAACCCTAGCGAAGTCGTACATCTTCGCCAAAGGCTCGATAGTGCCGTTAGCAGTTCAAGGGATCGAAATTATTCGATAGAGTACACTAGATCCATGATACAGACGCTCATAGACTGTGATGACTTCCAGGATATTGCCACACTGGAAAACCTCGAAGAGCTCCTCGACCACAAATCGGATCTCAACTCAAAGCTCATTCAAATCGGCGACTCGATCGTTTACAAATTGGTACAGTGGACGAAGAGGTTACCGTTTTATTTAGAACTTCCAGTTGAGGTCCATACGAGGCTACTAACTCATAAGTGGCACGAACTTTTAGTTTTAACCACTTCTGCTTATCAAGCGATACACTTTCGGAGCCACAAGAGGTCTTTGGAGCAAATGGCTTCTACTGGAGAGACTGATTTTAACCAAGAGGTGAGTTCTTTTTTTTGAATTCTTGTTTTGTTTAATTTAATTTGTTTTAAACAATAAAAGAAAGGCGGTATTTATCCAACGATCTTACACAATGCTTACGCAAACAAGAAACGTGAACTGTAAGGTCAATGACATACATTTTATAGAAAAGGTCACAAAAATCACGTAAAAGGTCGACTGAGTCTCCATCCCATTTGCGATACACTTGGAGTTCTTGTCATGCGCGCTTGTTATTTCTAATGGGTATCTTTGTTCGAAGCGATTTCTTCCTGTTTACTTGTTATTATACTTGGATTATTATTATTTTTTGAGTTAGTATGCAAGCGATGTCGTTTCGATCGTTTACCTTCGTGAATGATCAAATTCGGTCGAAAATTTCAAAGATTAATTCGCCTCGAATTACCTAACATAATTATACCCAAGACAACATATAATTTGTGTTTACCAATAAAAATTATATGTTTTTCTCAAGACTTTAATTAACAGGAAATTATACAATTCATACCACAAATGATTTCATTTTAAGAGATCATAATCAACTATAACAACTAGTAAATACTTGTAATAAGGAAATAAACAAATAAAAATCATAACCCATTTATAGTTGGTAACCTTAAATCTATTATTATTACTTTAGAAAAATTTTACACTTCATTTCTTGTTCTCAACATCGTACTCTAATAATAGAAGCACCAAAAAATAACTCGGTTGCAAAATCAGGGACGACGCAGCATTGCTGCTGCAGCTGCAGCACACAAGAAGCGTTAATCTGCCGGTGTAGTTTAAGCACCTATAAATAGAAGGGCGACAAACGAAAAATTTCCGCGATGCTCAGCTCACTCAGGTAGCAGAGAGGCGATGCCGCGAAAACAACCGAACGTGATTTCACGATTTGAACCGAACTCGCCTCTTAATATAACTGACCCAGATTTAACGCGTTAGGAAAGCCAAGGCAATGACATTAAAAAGAAACGAATTGTGTGAGCATAGAACCGAGCAAAGCAAACGCGTGACGCAAGACTACTGTCTTGCGACATCGACTTGAAATTGAAATTCCCAAGCAGTGTTGTTAAGAGGGCCTTCGCGAAGTTCAAAGACAAGAAAAAAATAACATTATAAAAAATTATGTTCTTATTTTACATTAATAATCACAAAGTCTATTTTTCATTAATAGGTAAACAATAATTTGCAAACGCTTCAGACGTGTTTGGCATCTATGATGGGTAAATCCATTACGATGGAACAACTGCGGCAAGACGTGGGTCTTATGGTCGAGAAAATTACGCACGTAACCCTGATGTTTCGAAGAATTAACCTCACAATGGAGGAATATGTGTGCCTTAAAGTTATTACTATGCTTAATCAAGGTTGGTAAATTTTTATTAATTTATTTTCGATGCTAACTCAATTGCCATCATGTTTTAAACTTCAAAGAAAGAGATTAAAGAAATTTGACAAGTATCAGTGTCTAATTAAGTTGGTTGAGAACACACAGAAAAAGATTTTCAAGAAACTTACTCGAATTAATAAAATATGTTAAAGGGGTGGAGGCGCCGGATCAAAATCAGCTTCTAATGAAAGAAGATGGATCAAAACTTTTTGTACAAAAAATGTTCTTTATTAATTTGCAAAAAATGGTTTACATAAAATTTAATTTTGCCCAACTTGCACTCTTCCAAATTTGAAAAGTATCAAAATTGAGGTTTTTGCAGATACAGTAGGTTATGGTGCAAGAACCATTTAATCGCGTCGATTATTTTGTCCAACTTAGAGGCTTCCAAGTTTAAAAGGTACCAAAATTGATTTTTTTGCAGATAAAATAGGTTATGACTCCAGAATAAAAGAAGATGGGTCAAAATATTTTATACAAAAGATGTTCCTTATTAATCTGCCTAATATATCATTTTATATCGCATCTATTATTTTGTTCAACTTAGACTCTTCCAAGTTTGAAAAATATCAAAATTGATGTTTTTGCAGATAGAATAGGTTATGATGCAAGTATAAAGGAAGGTGTAGCAAAAGTTTTTATATAAAAAATGTTCCTTATTGTTCTGCAAAACATGTCTAATAAACCATTTCATCGCAACGATTATTTTGCCCAAATTTGAAAAGTAACAAAATTGATGTTTTTGCAAATAAAATAGGTTATAACTGAAGATGGAGCAAAACTTTTGATACAAAAATTTTTCCTATTAATCTGCAAAACATGTCTAACAAATCATTTCATCGTTAGAATCTTCCAAATTTGAAAAGTATCAAAATTGATGTTTTTACAGATAAATGACTCAAGAATACAAGAAGATGAAGAAAAAATTTTTATACAAAAAATTTTTCTTATTAATCTGCCAAACATTTCTAATATATCATCGCATCGATCATTTTGTCCAACTTAAGACACAGCCAAAAGCTTGTCTAATTAAATTATAGTTAGAAATATACAGGTGTATCTTGATATATGAACCATGGGTGACTCCAAAAATAGCGGAAAATTTTGGTTTAATTTTTTTTTCTCAAAAACCACAAACGCTAGGAAAATGAAATTTGGGGAATATGTTTAACTCATAATAGGGCACGTTTTGACCCTATTTGTACTTTCAACCTATCCTTCTAAACTACTAAACGTAACCACCCCCTTTGCATTTTTGCGAAAATTTTTGTTATGCAAATGATAAATACATTAGAAAAATTTTGCATAGATAGATGAAAGTATTCTAAAACTTTTTTGTCTCTCTGAAATTTTTCCAAAAACGACTAATTTTTGAGAAAAAAAATAGTAAAGCAAACACTGCCCGTTAAACAACGGGATTGTCGATCAAAATTTTGAATGAATTTTGAATAAAAAAATCTTAGTAGGCTTTGCAATCTTTGTCAGAAATATTTTTGACGTTTAAATGTCAGTTTTTCTTACTATTATTATTGTTTTTCAAATTAATTTTTGAATAAAGTTCTATCGCATTTACGCTCGTTCACTCGACTTTTCAAAATTTTAAATAAAACAATAATAAAGTAAGAAAACCACTGATATTCAAACGTCAAAAATATTTCTGACAAAGATTGCAAAACCTACTAAGATTTTTTCATTAAAAATTCATTCCAACTTTCGATTAACAACCCTACAGCTTAACAGTTAGTGTTTGCTTAATTATTTTTTTTCTCAGAAACTATTAATTTTTAGAAGAACATCAGAGAGACAAAAAAGTTTTAGAATAGTTTTATCTATCTAACTGAAATTTTTCCAATGTATTTATCATCTTCATAAAAAAATCTAGGCATAAATTGAACGGGGGTGGTTACGTTTAGTAGTTTAGAAGGGTAGATTCAAAGTACAAATAGGGTCAAAACGTGCCCTGTTATGAGTTAAACATATTCTCCAAATTTCATTTTCCTAGCGTTTATGGTTTTTGAGAAAAAGAAATTAAACCAAAATTTTCCGCTATTTTTGGAGGGGTGTAGCTCCTTAGGGGAGCCGAAGTCACCCATGGTTCATATATCAAAGTAAGTTTAAAATTCACTAAAGAATCACCCCTTGAAGTTTGTTGCAGTCATTCAGATACACCCTGTAGAAAAATTTTCTATATTAACCATAAAAATATATTATTTTTATCGTATTAATTGTATAGGTCGACATATTTTTAATGTATCTGTGTATATTTTTAGCAAGGGCTGGAGTAACTGGTAGTCCCGAATTAGAAAACATCCAAGAGCGATACATGACTTGTTTAAGGGCGTACACCCAACATATCTATCCGCAGGATCCAACAAGATTTCAAGATCTCCTCGTCAGATTACCCGAGGTAAATTATTTTCTTAATAGAAAAATGAAACGATGTAATTGTATTATTTTTTTGTAGGTTCAATCGGCAGCTGCACTTTTACTCGAAAGTAAAATGTTTTACGTTCCTTTCCTGTTAAACTCCGCGATTCAAAGATAGTACTAATCACGATCATCCCTCCTCGCGACATTCATCCCCACACACGAAACTGTTAAATTTTAAAACTTTAACAGCACGTCTTTATTATTATTATTATTTTTTTCATCATCTTTTCTCGTCAGCGCGAATTAAATAGAGATTTAAACAAAAATAGGAGTATAAAAAGAGAGAGATTGAGATCTATTACTATTATTACTATTTACATAAGAATGAAAATCGTTTTTTTCTTTTTTTTTAATTAATTAATTAAACAAATTCACAAAAAAATATTCCTTCGTCGTCTTTTTGTAAGTAATGTATATACACATAGATTTAAAACAACTATACTGCCACTTTTTTGACGGGAGAAAAAGTTTAAACAAAAAAAACTAAAATAAAAAAATATTGCGATATATACAATTTAAATATACAATTTTTTTATTGTATTAGAAAAAAATACCGCGTCCGAGTGTACATACATGAATAAAACAGTTGATTGGCAACTATAATTATAAAATATTTAATTAAATTATTAATTTAATTAAAAAGGGGAGGGGAGACTACTTAATTTCAAGAACTGAAATTTGTAATTTTTTTAATCGCAAGAAAAAGTCAACTGTATTGTGATATTTGTGTACACGGCGTAGGTCAAAAATGCACTGTAAGTTCAACATTTTCAAGTTACCAATATTTATATAGATTTTTTACACGCAAACGTGCTACTATTTAAAAAGAAGAAAATTATTTAATTATTTAAAAAGAAACAATTAATTAAAGAACACCGGACGACAAAAACACCGTTGACATCAAAAAAATTTATATAAAAGAAATTTTTTGAAATCTAAAAATGTACTAAGACGAGTTGGTTTTCTTTTTTAACAAAAAAGAAGGGGAACCACAACACACCTCCGACCACCAAATGCATAATACGTACCAAGAAGCGAGAGTTTTTTTTATTAAAAAAAATAATAATAGGAAAAAGAGCGTATTCGCCCGCGCGCGCGTTATGTGTTCGGAATTTCTTCAAAATGTCCGAAACTAAAGTCTGAAAACCGTTGCCTTTGAAAAAAACCCGTGGCGCGGTTGTGACGTTTCGTCCTTTTTTTCTTTTACACAAAAAAGATAAATTACAACTCAAAAGAACGAACCTAATTAATTATTTATTAAATAACACTGCCACGAGTGAGACTGCTTTAAAAAAAATAATTATTAAGAAAACTGCCAGTTTTTTTATAACAATTTTTTATATACCGATTAAAAAATCAATTAAGATTACTTTTTTACCGATTTTTTATATTTAATTAAAAATAACTAGTCGATTAAGCTACGTACTGTATTAAATCAAATTTTTTTAATAAACCCTTTAACGTACTAAAAATTATAAAAAAACGATTTTTTAGAAAATCTTTATGAAATTATCACTAATTATAAACGAAAATGTGTACTTTTTAATGAATCAATCCAATTTGGAAAAACACTTTTAGTTCTTGAGATATAAATTCTCAAACTCAGTTATTCGTTTCGATTTTAACAATTTCCTTAAGCCATAATGTCGAAATTTATACATAACACAAGCCCATTAATCTTGTTTACTACATAGAACATTCCTTCAATTTTAGTCAACCTTACAGCCGTCCGTCCATGCTAAACATATCTGCCATAGTCTCCTTTATCTTATCTCTTAATTCTGCAGCACTCATCCCAACCAAGAATTCTATGGGCTTGACGTATCTATTTGTATCTTCATAACTCCATCAATATCAAGAACTTTTCAACCAAAAGCTTATACATTCTTTTAATAATCTCCTTAATTTGTACATATTGTTGACAATTTGAATAATAAGTAATGTTACTGTAATAATGGTAAAATTTAAATCATGACATTAATTGTACGTTAAAGGGTTTTACTCACTGCCTTTACAATAAATCAATACTGCCAATTAATCTTAATATAAATTTTAATAATCTCATCTCTTTAAACACAGTCGTTACTCGAAATAAATAAATAAATAATAAAAATGAAATGATAGTTACCAATTTTTGCCATAATAACATATTTAAAATCATTTAAAATAGGTTCAAGAAAAAGAATAAGAATGTTTCTTTTGTTTATGGTATAATAAAGGCGTAAGGACGTCACAACAAACGCGTCACGTGACGTTTCTTACCGTTAGTTAGCGTATATAGGAGATAAAGTATAAAGTAATGAAAAAAATATAAATAATATAATTAAAACGAAATAATTGTGTTATTTTTGTGGTTTAACGTAAATAAAATGAAACATTACGAGGACATAAACGCGAATTCAAATCAAAATTTTAAAAAATTAATTAAAATAAAAATTAAATTTGATGTTTTATGTCCTTGTGATGAATTAATATAGAATGAAATCGGGATATTTTTTTAAATAAATTTTTTTTTTCATTAATACATTCATTAATATTCATCAATTTTCGGATCATTTCGCACTCTAAACGACTGAAATTGTTACATTCCTATTTTAAAGACTCTTATTAAAAAAAAAGTAAAAAAAAAATAGATTATAGATAATGAAAAAAAATGTTTCAATTTTTAAAAAAATATCTCGTTTCAAGTCATCTAAATGACCAAAAAAATAATATTTTTAGTTACCAATTAAACCAAGTTTTTTGTACAAAAATTTGCAACGTTCCTTTTTTTGTTTATTATTTTTTTTTAATTTGTTGTATTTAATCTAATCCTAAATGTAATGAGGCGTTTTTTAAGCGTTTAAATTCCTTCCCTCAATTTTACTTTTTTTGTCGAATAGATCTTTGTTTGTAGGTATTTGGTATGAAAGGTGAAACTTTATTGGTTACTCTTTCGATTTTATTTCCCTTTTATTTTCTTATTATTATTAATTAAAAAAAAGTGTACATTTTGAAATAGCTACCTGATGTCAGTATATATATAAATAATATATATATATATCGAATAGTTTTTATTAATAAACACTATCTATTTGAGACAAAGTACTTATATTTGATATAATATTAACTATGAAACAATTTCTTTCGCTTCAAGATTTCTTTTTATTGTTTTTTTTTCTCTCGAAATTTAAATTAGATATTATAAAGAAATTAAAGAAAAAAACAAATGTAAATAAACTTTATCAGACTGGTCGGAAAATAAATAAAAAAGTAATGCGCGAGAAATATTAATTAATTAATGAATTAAAGAAAAAAAATTATACAATGTGATGATTAAATGTATAATTTGTAATAATATTTAAATATAAGAAATAAGACCACAAGAAAGAAATGTAATTGACAAATTAATTAATGAATCAATGTACTTGTCGTTGTTTGAACCTCCTGTTTAACAAAAAAGAGATTTACATTTAACACACGCATTTATTCAAAATTTGAAATAAACCATGAAATTTAAAATTGAAAAAATTTCCATAAACAAATACGCTATTTATTATCGCAGTGAGGTACAAGAAAACTATTTAAGAAAAAATAAACTGAAAACCTTTCTTTTTTGAAATCTTTATATATGTTATTGTGTTTATAAATTTTTGTATTATTGTGTAGTATAGACTATATTGAGTTACCGTTATCATTATAAAAGTTTATTAAATTTTAAGATTATAATTAAATGAGCTTGCGTATTATAAAATAAAATGATAAAAATAGTAAAATTATTTCTTTTTATTAATTCAATAACATCAGTTTTTAAACAATTAAATTTTAAAACATTTTGGTTCGTAACTTGAATAATAAAGATTACTTTGGCTATTGAATAAGAGATGTCGCTAAATAACTAAACGATTTTTTTTAAATGAATCTTTAAATCCAACTTTGCATTTCATTTTCGAGGAGGTAAAATTACGTTTTGTATCAGGAGTACATCAAATCGAGGAGGTATTTCTCAAAGTATTAGGAGGTATATAATTTTGGCGGGAAATTTTAAATTAAACTCAATTACCTCCTCGATTTCATGTGCTCCTCATACAAAAATCTAGCATTTCATTTTCGAGGAGGTAAAATTACGATTTGTATCAGGAGTACATCAAATCGAGGAGGTATATCTCAAAGTATTAGGAGGTATAAAGTTTTGGCGGGAAATTTTAAATTAAACTCAATCACCTCCTCGATTTCATGTGCTCCTAATACAAAAATCGATCATTTCATTTTCGAGGAGGTAAATTACGATTTGTACCAGGAGTTCATCAAATCGAGGAGGTATTTTTCAAAGTATTAGGAGGTGTGAAATTTTGAATCAAACTCAATTACCTCCTCATACAAAAATCTAGCATTTCATTTTCGAGGAGGTAAAATTACGATTTGTATCAGGAGTACATCAAATCGAGGAGGTATATCCCAAAGTATTAGGAGGTATATAGTTTTGGCGGGAAATTTTAAATTAAACTCAATTACCTCCTCGATTTCATGTGCTCCTAATACAAAAATCGACCATTTCATTTTCGAGGAGGTAAAAATTACGATTTGTATCAGGAATACATCAAATCGAGGAGGTCTTTCTCAAAGTATTAGGAGGTATAAAGTTTTGGCGGGAAATTTTAAATTAACCTCAATTACCTCCTCGATTTCATGTGCTCCTAATACAAAAATCGACCATTTCATTTTCGAGGAGGTAAAATTACGATTTGTATCAGGAGTACATCAAATCGAGGAGGTATTTTTCAAAGTATAAAAAATTAGGTAGTAAACAGTAATTAAAATAAACACAATTTATTTTTAGTTAACATTTTTTGTTTTTTTTTTTATTTAAGGAAGAACAACATATATAATTTCTGTACACAGCGGCCACGCATTTCTCATTTCCGAATCCATATTTCGTGGTATAATAATATATTTACAAAACAACATGTATTCATACTTTTTTGTATCTCTTTGGCGAAAATATATACATAAAGATAATAATCGTACAATTAATTATAATTATTAAAAACGAACGAAAAAAAATATACCAATCTTTTAAAAAAATCAAAATAATTTAAACGTGGATCCTCAGGGGCTGATTCTTAATCAATAAATAAATACACATCAAGGTACAAACGTTACAAAACCACATTATACAAAGTGTTCCAAAAAAAGGCGCTTTAACACTTTCCAAGTGCAAAATTGACATCATATCCTCATCGACATCAGTGGCGTGTGAATTAAGTACACATAGTGCTCTAAAATATCATCATTTAGGTATCAAAGTGTGATTGATTGTTATCTTATTATCATCATATTTTAAAAAAATCTTATTCGATTTCTTTTGGGGTACACTTAGATTAGAAATAAAAAGTTATTGCACAATCAATTTCTTATTTTATCTTTCTCAATTTTTTCTTAAATAACACTCGTTTGACTTCCACGTCTTCTCGGTAACGTTCCACTACTATTATTCGCCCCTAAATCCGGACAACCATAAGAAACCAATAAATCAACTAAATTCTTCCAATCGCCACCACCTCCATGTTTACTCAAACCAGCTTTAGCATACCACAAACACGTTTTACCCTCTTCATCTTGAGCCTTCACGTTCGCATTATGCCAAATTAATAACTGAACAACAGCTAAGTTTCCTAACATACACGCTAAATGCAGCGCAGTTCGTAAATCTTTCCCTCCATTAACGGTTGTGTTAACTTGTTCAATAGTTGCTTGAGCTAAAACAAGTATAATTTGGCGTATGTTTGAGCTACAAACGCTATCAATTAATTGTTGTTCTAATGGCATTGAAGAATTTGATGAGATTAAAGGGAGAAATTCTTTGTTTTCGTATTTCGCTCGAATCCATCGTTCTTTTTCTTCATGACTAGATGTTTTTGTGGGTTTTGTATGGTTTTGAATGCGACTTTCAAACACGGAATTTGCGATGTTGTTGCCTATCGCTAACATCACGCTTAATTGCCCAGGACTGAAATAATAATTTTTTTTAATGAATTTTATAAAAAATATTAAATATTTTTTACTTACGACCAATCATCCAGATCTAACGATCGAACCCTTGAAATATGTGACCCTAAATTTCGATGAATTCCAGAACATTCAATACACATCAAAACACCTAAATTTAAACTTGCCCAATCTGGATCTATTTGAAAAAATTAAATCAAATTAATAAATTAATTAATAAAATTTAATTTTTACTTACTTGGAGCATCACAATCGACGCAAACATCGTTTCCGGGAACCCCCGATCGTATCCTTTGTATCGTCGACGCCTCGCCGGGATTATTTAATTTTCTAGCTTTTGAAGATTCGTTTAGTTGCAAAGAATTTAGTATTTGTTGTTCAATAGCGGCTACCCAACCGTCTCTTTCGTCTGAATTTGACGCCTCAAAATGCCATTGTTTATTATCTAATGAGACAATATAAAATTCGTATACGTCTGAATCTAAAATTAAAAAAAAAATCTTGTTATAAACTATTTTAATGATTTTGAAGGGTTCAGAATATAATATACGCAGAAATAGATCTTTAGCGGCAGAGATGGAATATAAGAAGTAAAAGTATTATCATGGTCATTTCCAGAATCATGTGCAGAAGCAAATCTTGGGATGCATTATCAGAATATCAAGTGTAAAAGTAATATTAGGTTCATTTCCAGGAAAGAACATCATGTGCAGAAGCAAATTTTTAGACGCAGAAGCGAAATATTAGGAGTAGAAATATAACCCAACCTATATGATTTTAAAATGATCTTACATAATTCTAGATGATTTTAAATAACTTTAAATTTCGTTATCTGCATTTAGAACAACTAACGATGATTTTGAACAATGTTAAATGACTGAGCGATATTAAACGATTAATTTAAATTTAACTTACCATCATATTCAGAATTTTTAACTCCACTACTCTTCATCCTCCGATGTCTTTTCTTAACATTTGGAGTTTCACTTTTACCACCACCACCGTCCCCATTCAAAAACGAATTGCTACTCGATAAAACCATTGCGTCATCGCCACTTCCGTGAGTGGCGTGTTTACTTCCGGGCTCCTTAACCACATCAAACGCGGTCAATAAAACCTTCTCGGTAACCGTCCCGGCGACATTCCTTCGATGATCTTTCCCCGCCGAAGACGAAGATGACGACAACGATAATCCACCTATGCCATCATTAATTGTGTTATTACTAGTTATTCCGTTACTTCCGGCCACTGTAATTATAGATTTTGATCCGCGCGGTTTCTGTCCGGGAACTTTAACAGTCACGTATTGCAATGAAATTTCTTTTCCATGAACGTCGTCCATGTAATCGTGTAAACTTGGATGGTAGGTTAATCGACCGTCATCGCAAAGAGTTACATATTTCTTTTTCCATTCTTTATTTAATGGCTTATTACTTCGTTTGTATAAATAACCTTGTTTTAATGGTATCGCTCTTCCGCTACCGATATCCCCGCCATTTTTTAATTTATCATCACCTTTTTTTGCCGTAAAAATATTCGATCTTCTTCGATTTTTTCTTGAAGTCGTCGGCGTTGAACTCGGCGTCGGCAAATCTTTTTCTTTTTCTTTGGATTGGGGCTGAATTTGAAGAAGCTGATTATCAACAGGATGAGGAACAGCAAATTTAGCCAAATTGTTATTTTCAACTAATTGCGAATTCGATCCGTGACTACCTAAAGTCGAACTCGACGAATTCCACTTCACATCGTCGTTATTTCGAAATATTATCGTTTCTTTTTCGGATTGTTGTCGATGAAGGTGATGACTGGACGAAGATAAAGTATGGACTTGTCGCGATGAGTTTAATTGACCCAAACTCATCGAGTCTTTATGGGAAAGTGTGTGATTATTATGATGACTAGGACTAGACATGTGGTTTCCTCCTGAAGATGGGGATTCTCGCTGGCAAAACCCGTTCGTTGGGTTTTGTTGGGACATTTGGTGGTGTTGGCGCGGGGCGGTCATTGGTCCTTGTTGATAAAAATGATTAGGGGTTGATGGTCTTGAATTTGTTGGTGTTAATGAAATTCCACCGGGGGTTGATAACCTTTGTTGAACTATTTTTTGGCAAGCTATAAAGACACAAAAAAATTATTGCAATTAAATTATTAAAAAAATCTTACGTTTAAATTTATAAAACATTTTCTTATTAAATAATCTCTCTTTGAGATGTTTAAAATTCAAGCACTGACATTCCATGATTCTTATTTTTGCTTTACAATTTTTACGGGTTATTACTAAAAGGTCGTCGTTATTGCGCGTTACACGAAAGAAAGTCAATCTCATACTGAGAGCCTCTCTCTTATGCTGTTAGCTACGTGAAGAGAAGCAATGGGATAACCTCGGGAAGTCGAGGTTGCCCACGCGGACGCGGACCATTGAACCTGTTTAGGTACCACAGGAACGACCGAGTTGAGATAGGTTCGAGGAGAACCATCGACCATCAGGTTCCCAGCAGGAAGAACTCAAGGTCGACATCGATTCACCTCTTTTCATTCTTTTAATTTTTTACGTTCTGTTGATTCTTTTTTTATTTTATTTCCTTTTTGGCGGTCGTAATAATGGAATGAAAGATACAAGAAGGTGAACGTGTGGAGGTGGTACACAAAAAAAATTGTCGAAATCTGAATACGATCGCCTGACCAAAAGTGGTAAAGTAAAAATGAATAAAATTGTGACTCACCGTCTTGGAAGACGCGCTCCACGTTCAATCCGTAGGTTGCGCAAGTTTCGTAGTAGGGACACTTTTTCAGGTCGTTTGCTAGTTTTCTTGCTCGGTTATCATCGATTACTCGTGGGTTACTCTCACTAATACCGTCTGGAAATAAAAAACAACAAATAAAAAATTATTAAACAAACTTATCGAAGAAGAATAATAATGTGAATTAATAATTATCTCATTATAAGTTAAAATAATAGTAGTAGAAGTAATATCATAGCAAAGAACCAATGTCAGAAGTAAATCTTTGGATGCAGAATCGGAATATCAAGTGTAAAAGTAATATTAGGTTCATTCCAAAAAAGAACAGCATGTGTAGAAGCACAATATCAAGGCAGAAGCAAATCTTTAGACCCAGAAGCGGAATATCAAAAGTAATATTAGAATCATTTACAGAAGATAAGATCAAGTGGAGATGATAAATACTAGTGATGGCACGAATCACCGGAACCGGAATTCAGGCGAATTCCTAAGCCGGATGGTCAGAGTTCCAGCCGCCCGATGGCCGGATCATTTATGAAAAATATAATATCTGATATTTATGACTTGTTGAATTGTCTAAAATGTTCTTTAACATGTTCTAAAAACAATAATAATTTCATAAGTATTACAGGACATTGTGCTGAGTTGTGAGAGCTTTCCAGAAAATCACACAGGAATGATTAAAGGCTGCAAAGATGCCAGAATTGTTTTGGCAAATTTCTAGTTCTAAGTCTAGTCATCTCTCTAACTAAATATACGTAATATGATGTATTATGGATAAAATGATACATAAAGCAGTTCAAAACGCAATGAAAATTTCATCACAAACAAACACAATTGAGACAGAAAACCACAAAATTAAGAAGTGTCGGAGAATATTGCCAAAATAAAAATTTTCAAATTGTTACATTTTTAATTTGGATAAAATATAAATATCTCTGCTCTATAAATGATTAAAATCACATCCAGCTATCTGCAACATATTGATTATCGAATATCGTGTATAAAATATACTCCAACTAAATTTTAAATCAAGATAATTTATTTGTGAGTGCCCCAGCTTTCGTTTCCACCTCGAAATAAGTCTCGATCGGATAATATAAGATAAAATCACGATAACTTTAACCAAAAAAATTATTAAAATTTATTAAAAAATTAAACACTGTCAATTCATGTCTAGTTTCGAAATCCTCGCTTTTACCGGTAATGGGAATTGCTTGTTCGGGGTCATTCTGGTGTTCCCAATTTAAAATTTGTTCTAAATCGATATAGATTTTAACGAAACTAATTCAAATACTACAAAAATAATAAAACAATCTTTATCGTATATTAAAATGATTAGTTAAAAATTACTTTTTTGCGCGTCAATTCTTACCTTGGGTTCCAACTAGTATCACAGGTATCTCCGTTGCGTTCCTATAATGGGACATTTTCGAGTAATACTGGTATATTGCGTTGAAGGACGATTCATTTTCAAGGCTGAAAACAAAAATCACCGCGTCCACCCACGCTGTAAACTACAAAGAAAAGAAAGAAATTATTTATAATTTAAACTTTAATTAATTAAGTAATTTTTCGTACTTTTAGTAACGACTTGAAATATAATAAAAGGAATATCTTTAAGGGATGATAAGAAGTGAAGCAACCCTTTACGTTCAGAAGCCGGGAGCGCACTGAACTCTACGGGCTGTGTTTCCCCAAATGCGAGTAGGGAAAAGCCTACCTACACACAATCGATAGCGCGAGACGAGTTACTTTTCAAATTGGTTTCCAACATGTTATTGCATACTTTAAAATTTAATCTTCCAACATTAAATTAAGCCTCATTATCAGCAAATTAAAGTGTTAAACTCAAATATACTTTTGATTAATCGCAATTTTCTGATATTTCGTTGCGAACAAAGAAAATGTTTCGAATGGAACTAGAAACGCAAAATTGGGGTTATTGCGTGAGGAAATGAACCCCTCGGCGTCATTCTGGCGCCTACTTCTTAGTTTCATGTCGAGACGGCGCCGGAAAATTCGAGTTAAATTCTAGGATTTCCAAAAATTAATGATATTAATTCTTTGGGGAGTATTATTATGATTTTATTTCAATATGGAGAATCAATATTGAATTGTGATTTAATTAGCTTTTTAAGATTTTTCCGTCCTTACCTTAGAAAATATTCGACAGCTTCTAGCTTCATTTTATCACATAATGAGAACTAATTACATTCATGTTGAGCCATAAATTTAATGACTGGTACCAAATTGCGCTACTAATAGAAGCGCCGTGACATAGTTTAGTGACACTGGGAGATAATGCAGTTTCAAGGTATACTAAGCAGACTTCAAAAACTGGTGGCATTCATTGCTCGCCGCAGATCTAATACTGTCCTCCCTTAATAGACTTAAGATGAGCAGGTCAAAGATGGAGCACTCGGTTTTGATCAAGACTACCACATTTATCACCCTAATGAAACACCAGTCCCGAAAGTAGCACAATTTAAGTATCTGGTATGGAACGCAGATGTGGAGGCTGAGGTTGAGGCCAATCAGAGTGGACTAGCAGAAATGACGAAAAGAACAAGAGAGCTCCTAAATGAGTCTCTCTAAATGAAAATAATTTATCTGAATCGACAACCTAGGCCACAATGTCGAGACTCGTGAAGTGAAAATGAGCAAAACAGGAGAACACTGCATCTAAGAAGTGCGTTCTAAGATTTCATAAAATATACAGTCCTTATTAAATCTACATTAAGTAACCTGAAACTATTAAATTTTGTTATAAGTTGTAAAGGTTAATATAACACAATTTTATTTACTTGCAGTTCTGGTGGTCCTCCTTCATCCCTGATCAACAATAGGTAACTCTGATTGTCAACTAGGATTTCTTTTTTAAACCGGCCACCTTCTGGTGATTCCTCTTGCATATAAGATCCGGTAAGGTACCTGTGGACTAGAGCGGATTTTCCGGAAGACAATGAACCGACAATTCCCAATCTTAAATCCGGCACGGATCTCGAAAGCGTCCATTCTTGACTGTTTACAAAAGAATCTGAAAAATCCAAAAAAATATATAATAATTAAAAATAAGAAATTAAGCATGATCATTTATTTTAATTTAAATTAAAGCAACCGGTAACGTTGGGTTGTGAAAAAATGAAAAAGATGAAACAGGAAACGACGCAGGTTTTCTCTACGTTACGAAACGGAAACGGAAGTCACCTCACCGAAGAAGTTGCCATTAACCGCACGTGCCCACCTGTCGTGCAAAAGCCGTATATAGCCGCTTTAATACGGCTGATTAAATCTCGCTTTGGTCGGTAATTGAAAAGTTGATATTTCCGGGTTTTAGAAACCAGCAAACCGTTATAATTTCAATTTAAATACAACAATAAATAATTTTAAATTAAATTTGGTTTTTAACACGCATTGCGTTATCTTTTAAAACAAGTAAAAAAGTGTTTCCTCCAAACCGCGATTTCCGCTCCAATTCCCCTAAGAGAGTAAATCAATCTAAAGCGAGAGGAGAGTATTAATTTGATACCTCTTACGACATTTTCTATACATCATGTTATATATTTTTTTTCCTTTTTGTACTAAAAGTTCTTAAGCCGTTTTATAAAGAAGAAGAATGTTGGGCGGCAGCTGCCACTTCACAAACAAATCGGAAATTATTATCTAGACCAGGCCGTTAAGAAATACACCATCTGTCCATTTCCAGGTAAATACATAATTTTTTTTTGCAAAATTAATTTTAGATTCTAAAATAGTACTAAGTTATTATAAAATGATTACATCTTCACACCAATAAAAGTCCTTGATCTCTTCGTTAATTTCGTACTGGATCCAAGGTCTAACAAACAATCCATTCAATTCAAGCCTTCAATGTCAATTTTTTTTTATTAAGCCAACATCGAAATCCCGTTTCGCGATCCCAGTACTCGTATAATACACGATATGTATCGGTAACAATACCAAGTTGAAAGAGTAGTAACACAATAAGTTCTCTTGTTGCTTGTCCTCGTCCTCTTCGTTCTTCTCTTCTTCTCGTGGGCCAGATGTTACAACCAACATTTTTTTAACAAGATCTCATTTAATTTATTGCGATGGGAAACGAAACCGAACGTCACAAAGCAAATATGTTAATTTAACGATTTATTTCATTTATTGAAAAAATAAAGTTCATGCCGAAGCAAAATTTGTTTCAACACAAAAAAAAATGTTTACCGAAACAAATTTTTAAAATAACAACTTCGGTATAATTGTATCCCGAGTGTAATAACTCCGCGCATAAAAAACAACGATTAAGTTTCCGGTTGTGTTGCAAAGAATAAAAGTTTGACGTCAAGTACTCACAATTTACGTCAGAATTGTAATTAAACAACCAAAAAATAAATTATTGTGTGTATTTATTTAGGTTCTTGTTGCAGGTAACTAATAAACGTACACATAATTTTTTTTCTATACATACGGGGCAGCTGTGTGTATTAGAAAATCGTATTGGTTACATGGGGGCCCCATATCCGGATTACGTTAAGCACACTTTTATAATCGAAAATACCGTACGTTATGGTCATTAAAATTTTCTTTATTGCACATTTAAACATAAATAATAAATTGTTTAGAATCATTCGGAATCATTTAAAGACATTAAAGCCATTCGGAGAAAGTGAGATGCATTGGAACGTACTAAGAGCTATTCGGAGCAATTCTGGAAACAAAATCAATGAGAGGAAATTGATAACGAAAATCATTTTTCCACTAAAGAATATAATTAAATAATCAAAAAAAAAATTATTAAATAAACAGTAAAATAAAATCCAAACATTGTTATCTAACACATGATAAATACAAAGGTAGATAATAAAGCGAGTAGATAAACAAATTTAATTTGTTATACTACAAAACGAACAATAATCCTTTTGTTATAAAAGTTTAAAACATTAAAATTTTAGGAGTTAAATGATGACCTCAGTAAAAACAACTCTTTATGTTTTTAAAGCCGCTTTAAAAGTAACGATGATGTAAATCGAATTGTAACCGGGTAAAATTAGATAATTACACAACAAATCACTGATCAAAACAGTTTCTCTTCTTAGTCATAAAGTGTCTATATAAATCGTTAATTAATTACGTTTCTTAATTGACTCATTTGCTTAACTCGAATTTACTTAAATATTTCTTAATAGATTTCTTAATCAAATTGAGCTGACAAATTTCTTTTAAGTGGCGGTTAAACGTTCTTTTTCTAGTATAAGGAAACAAACGTCACCTTCAGGTTTTATGGTAATTGAGGAAATCGTTTTTTTTTTCCCACCCCCAACGGATTTTGATATGCTTCTTGAGTTCTAATCCTTTTAAGTCACGGTTAAAATACCATACAAGGAAATTAAATTTAAAAAAATCTTTGAAAATTATAAACACAAAATAAAAGAAATTTTGTAAAAATTTCGATGGCTTTACGATTGGTGTTAATTGAATTAAAATTAGAACTAACACTAGTAGTACTAATACTAGCATTATCATTAGAAGTAATATTAGAGCTAGAAACATTCTAGAATACTAGAAACTTTCTAGATTTAGGTCTAGTGTTAGTTCTAATTTTAATTGTTATGTTGCACTAGATCAAGAACTAGAATCATTCGGGTTTAGCCATCTTAAGAGATGTACGGCTAAACCCAAATGGTTCTAGTTCTAGGTGTAATGTTAGTTCTAGTGACAGTGCAAGTTTAAAAGTAGAACTAACACTATACCTACAACTAGAATCATTCGGGCTTAGCCGTCTTTAGAGACGTTCGGCTAAACCCAAATGATTCTAGTTCTAGGTCTAGTGCTAGTTCTACATAAAACCAGTGCTAGTGTAAAACTAGAACTAACACTAGACCTAGAACTAGAAACATTTGGGTTTAGCCGTCTTTAGAGACGTACGGCTAATCCCAAATGATTCTAGTTCTAGGTCTAGTGTTAGTTCTAGTTTTAATTGCTATTCAGCGCTAGTTTGATGTATATTGTTATTGATCTGACAGCAGAACTAAAGATTTAGAACTAGAAACATTCGGATTTAGCCGCATTAAGAAGCGTACAGCTAAACCCGAATGTTTCTAGTTCTAAGTTTAGTGTTATTTCTAGTGCTAATGTTAGTGTTAGATCTAATGTTAATTCAAAACAAATTAGATTCAAAAATAAAAAAAAATCTCACCAGATTTCCTTTTATCCGGTAACACTAAACTTTTAGTCCTTTTAACACGAAGAGATCTCCTTCGAAAAGATCTTAAAAAGCTTTCGGGTACCCGATTTCGAAATGTTGTAGTTTCTTGAGATTTCTTTTCAGGCATAAGCCAATTTTTTACTGCAGCTATCGTTAATCCATGTTTAGATTTTTTGGGGGTTGGTTGAGGATCACTTTTTAAATCAACCATTTTTTTTTATAAACGTTTTAAAATGCACCACAAAAAGAATAATCACAAATTGTACCGCAACATATCGTATTTTTAAAAAACATTCACTCCTGTCAATGTTGCGCACTCATCGAAACGCGGTCGACGATAAAGTTAAAGCTACCGCGCGACTTGAACTTCATCGTCAAGTCGAAATAAAAGTTCCCCACCTCTCTTTTGAGAGTTTCCGATATGTGTAGAAACGACAACGACGAGCAGTCTGCGCTTGCGTGTTTAGTGATTTCGGGACTAAAACCACACCGTGAGAAATCAACCAAACGTAATCGAAAAAAAAAACAACCAACAACCCCTACCTCTCGTTAAGGGTTAATAATAATAATAACAAAACTAGAAAAGGGTTGGACATTTTTCTATCCAACGAAAGTTTTGACCGAAACTTTTTTTCTACGCAAACAGACAGGTGGTATTTTGTAGTTGTTACAAAAATGAATTAATGGTAACCCTTTGAACAGAAATTTATTGCGAATTATTTTATCGATGAATAAAAAAGGGGTTTTTTATTTAACGTATAATATAATTTCCAGAAAAATGATAATGATGAAACTGTTAAAGATTAGATAATAATAATTTAAAAGTTTTACGAAAACATTTTTCCCAAATAATTTGTAATATGTAAACACGAAGAAAAATTATTTGTTAATTTAAGCAGTTTGAGAATGTACCAAGTGATAAATGACATATTTCTTTAAATGATTGGAAAATAAACGAAATGGGATGTCTTAAAAGCTTTCTCTACGATTAATTTTAATTACTCAGTGAGTTGATAAATTATTAACAAGTTATAGCTTTCCTAGATTGATACATAAATAAATTAACACTAGACGTAGAACTAGAAAGTTTCGGGCTTAGCCGTGCGTCTTCAGACAAATTGTAAAAATAGTTGTACCAAAATTGAACAGTGTCATCAAGCTTGTAGTTAACCTGCGCAACTTTCAACTCGATAAATTCTGTTTTTCTGATGTTTTAGCGCTTTCAGGTACTCATTACATTTTTTGTCGAAGGCATAAACCCGACGATGAAATAAACAAAACTGAAAATATTTTTGTTATGTATTGTTTTGACAAAACACAATTAATGTACACAATCAATAACAAGTTGCTGTTGTTATTGATGGATTATGTACATTATAAGTAAAATTTAAAAGATAATTCACATGATGATTTTTCTTAAGTTATTTTATGTTAAAAGTGAACGTTTATAACTTTCCATGATCACGGTGAAAGTCGTCTTGAGAACAACTCAAAAATCACTTATTTGCGATCCTATCGTTTTCTAAACCGACCAAACCAATAGAAAGTTGTATAAACGACCAAATAGGGATAAT